TGTAAAAAATTATTTTGTTTAATTTTTGTTTGAATATTTGTTAAATTCAAAAATTATTTTGAAACTTTTTTTGATTCAGCTAGGCAAGGATGAAAAAAGAAGGGAGTAGAATGATCAAATAAGGCATTAGGATTTAAGCAGTGGAAGGATATCGGAAAAGTATTTACCGTAGTTACTCGATTAATTCCCTCTCTCGAATAATTCCCCCTGCTACGGATGAGTTGAAACAATAATCCCCCACCCCCAAATACACCACGACACGTTCAAATTTCAAAACTCGAATAATTTCCCTCCCTTGAGGAGTTGAAAAAATATTCTCCAGGGGAATTAATCGAGTAACGGTAGTTGGTTTGTTAATTAGGAGTTGAAAGTCAAGTTGAAGAAGACAGAGAGCTTATTTATTATATCGTTAAGAGATTTTAATCATCGAATCTTTTGATCCATAACATCAAACGCGGCTAATATTAGATCAAACAAAATAAATTCCTTCCCGACTAATCACAAGTTTTAGTTAATTCCAAGTTTCCCACATTTAAAATAGAAATTAAAAATATCTAATTTTATTTTACTTAACAAAATAAAATAGATTTAACAAAATGAAGAATAAGTAGTTATTTAAAACCCCTTGAATATTATAGGTAAAATATTCAATGAAATCCCTGTAAAAACTAAAGCTAAGCGAGAATTAAATATTTTCTATTCTCGGGTTCACTTTCTTTGAATTAATTATTTAAATTTTAGCCTGATGATTACCATATTAAATTGGAAAATAATAAGCTGTTTGTTCAAGAAAAATATAGTAAAGATAAAGAAAAATTTATTCCTTACAAATTTGACAAAGATGTTGTTAAAGAAATTGGAAAATATGAAGGAGAAAACGAACAGATTACTTTGAATAAAAAAATTTTGTCAAAATATTTTTACATTGATCTTGAAAAAATGAAAATTATTTTGTTTAAAAGAGGTACCAAAAATTGGGAATTAATTGCTAATGAAGGAAAAGAATTAGAGAAAGGTTGTTTATTTTTGTGTTTTAAAAAATAAACTAGAGTTGGTCACGGCACCGTATTACCGCGGTATTTTTCGGTATTACCGCGGTATTTTTCGGTAATACCGCAGTATTTTTACCGAAATACCGATACCGCCTCAATAAAAATACCGCGGTATTGGTATTTTACCGAAAATATCGATACCGATACCGAAAAATCGCGTTTGCCTAACACTAAAATAAACCAATGCTATCATGCGGATTCACTCTTTAGGACTCAAAAGAAGGGAATGTTAGATTGGTATCGTAAGAGTGTAGGTCGTGGTAAGTAAGCAGAAAATGAACGAATGATACAAAATACCTCTGGTTAGGGGTTAAATTACCTGGTTAAAGGACCAAGTTCTTATGATCCATCTTGACAACTGGCTCTTATGATGGTAAGATCCCTTAGGAAATTGATTTTGAGTTTTATAACTGTTAATTTAAATAGCTCTGTTAACACTTTACTCACGATGGGTTATTAATTTAGTGGAAAGTTATCTCATGTACAACATAATAATTGCTATAAGTGTAAACAATGATGCCATCAATTTCCCCACTTAATCCCATCAATTTCTTATTAATATTGAATAATTTAAAATTTAAAAAACAATTTAAACTATTTAATTTTAGCTAAATTTTCAAAAACTGGTTATGTTATTACACATGATAATGAAATTAATGAAGAAATTAACAATGAAGAATCTTCTGATGGAAATAATTTGTCGATTACCCGTAGCCAAACAGATGTTGAAAATTTGACAAAAAATAATTTGAAATTAAAACGTAGTCATTCATTAAACATCGGAATTAAATTTCCAAAAATAAAACCATTGAACTTTTTAACAAAATTTTGGAATAAATCGAAAAAAGGAAAGAATATGGATAAGAAAAAAGAAGAAAATGAATATTTAATTGGAAAAGAAAATGGAAATTAAATTTTATTTAAATTATATTTTAAATCTAAAATTTTTTTATTTTTTTAATTTTTTATATGTATTAGTAGTATATTAGTAATGCCCAGAGTAATTATTGAAATTTTTTGATAGTAATTTAAAAAATTTTTTTAAGTAAAAAAACTTTTAAACAGTCAAACCAAAATTTTATTTGTAACACACCTACATATCATGGGTGTGCCGAAACGGATTTTAAAAAGCGAAACGCGAAATGCGAAAGTCCGAAAAACACGAAAATCTGCAAAATTCGAAACTGGCACACCCCCTGCTATATATAACACAATTCTTTCTTTAACTATTATTTAATTGCTTTAACTTTCTTGATTATATTAGTTCAATTTATATACCGTGTTTCCTTTATTAGAATGCCACCCTCTAATTCAATCCCACCCCCCTAATAGAATGCCACTCTGGAAGGTGATTGAAAAATAGAATGCCATGGCATTCTATAGAGGAAATACGGTATGTATGTAAAATTAAAATTCAACTTTATAGCCTTGCAATATTTATTTTGAAGTTTAATTAGACATTAAGTTACCTAAATGAGCTAAAAATTAGTTCCAATGCTTTAGCTAAAAATCTTGTTTCTCTATTCTCCCCAAAAATTTTTAAATTAAATTTCGTCAAGTATTTAGGGTTGAGAATAGAGGTCGGTAAAATCACATTTGCAGGATCCTGTATCAGGATTAGGTTTTAAAATTTCGAACAGGACAGGATCCCTCAGGATTAAACCTGAAAATCCTGACAATTCTGAAAAAAGGCAGGATTTCGGACAGGCTCCTGAAAAATCCTGTGCGGGATCCTGTCCTGCGCCGACCTCTAATTGAGAATAACCTTCTACTTTTCTATTGGGTCCTTAAATTGGCAACAGTAAATCCCCCGCTTTACACGATAATTATTATTTTTCCAATTATTTTTCCTATCTTTGTTTATCACAAATATTATAGTCCAGCGGTGTTTTTAGTGATTTTAAAAGGTAAAAGACGAAAGGCAAAACTGGCACATCCCTGTTATAACCCCTCCCCCCCTTCTCCCAAATTTTATTATATTAATATTTTATTTAAAAATCTTTTTTTTATTTTAAAAATTAAAAATCAATGATAAAATTTATTTTTTTTATTTGTACAGATTTTTATTTAAAATTTATTAAAACATAAAATATATAAAAATTAAGCGTTGACGATATTGCTTAAATGCTTTTTAATACGTAAAGCAATTTAGAGAAATATGGAAATTTTTAGTATATTAGAATCGAGAGATACATAAGATTTATTAAATCTGTTTAAACAAATATTTTACCTTATCTTTTACTTGAATTTTAAATAAATGAAATTTAGAGTCTTGAATGAATTTATTTTAAAAATTAATAAAATTTAAAAAATAAATGAGAGATGATAGATGTATTTTAAGATAAATTAAGATAAATTTTAATAAATAAAAGATTAAAATAAATCATCAAAATTATCCGTCACTAGATCAAGATGTAGAACATATGTATTTGCGATAGAGAAGACATAATTTGGTATGATGGAAAATTAATTTCTACTAGGATTTTAAAGTACTTTATGGATATACCCCCCCCCCCTTTTTTTTGAGTACCTCTCATTTAATCTTACACTGGCAAATGGAGAGAAATAGAGGAAGAAAAAAGGCTGACCATTATTACATATTAAGGAGAACTCTCTACCATCCTCTAGGGGGTCGGTTTATTAGAAGATGTCGGTCTAATAGAGAGAGTCGCACTATTAGAATAAATACGGTATTCTAATTTTATATTTTTAAGTCTCTAATTGCATTTATTTAAATTAATAATCATTAAAGAAAATTTAAAAAGCGTTGGAATTTTATTTAAAATCAATTGATGGCAACTTCTAAAATAAAATTTGTTTGGACAGATTTATTTAAAATTTCTTTAAAATTAGGCAGTATTTAATTAATTTTAAATTCCCCCAAAATTATAATTCTTTCATTTAATTTAAATAGTTTCATAAAAATATTTTACCTTTTACCTCCTCTAAAAATTTAAAATTTCGCCTTTTTTAATGTGTCTTTCAAAAAAAAAAATAATTTTTGAGGTAAACATTCTAGGGGGAGTTATATAGAGTAGTGATGTTCGAGAGTTAAATAAAGCCGAGAGTGGAGACCCGATAATTAACCCCGAGACCGAGACCAAGTCGAGAGTCGAGACCGAGAGATTAAGAGGGATATCACTTGATGCCCTTCATAATCCCCAAAAATACCTTGAATCTCCAATATTACACAATATTTAGGTATTCACTGATATTGACATCAATCTCTTAGACACTCGAACATAACTAATAGAGAGCAAAACATATTTTACTCAAAAATATTTTCAAAAAAAAATTTTTTTTGCCAGCAATGCAAAATAAAAAAAATATTTTTTTATTATTAAAAACAATTTTGTAAAATATTATAAAGCAGAAAAATAATAAAAAAATATTTTTATTAAGATTTTGAATAAGCTTTTTGTTTAAAAAAGGTTTGTAAACAATTCTTTGTCTGTAATATATAAAGAATAATTTTTAACCTTAAAAATGCGTCTTAAATTAAAATTTAGTTTAAATTTAAAAATAAATTTTGATTTTTCTGAAAGAAAACAAAATTCTAAATTTTGTTTTTTTTAATTTTTAAGACCTAAAAGGCTTTTTCTTTAATTATTAGGCAATTTTACCTTTAAGATAAATATAATTTAGTAAAGATAAGTTTGTACTTAATTCTAAATTTTTGAATTTCTTTATAATAATTAGGGACTCACAAAACATACAAATGCATATTTTGTATGTAAATATGCCTTGAGCTGGGAAGCCCAAAAATGGTGTTCTTACGTTGGTCCGGGCGATTAAGGTCCAGGTTCTTAATGCATATATTTGCATATTTCGGCCCTCCCGTGTATATTTGCAGATTTGTACATATTTTGGGAGTCCCTAATAATAATGTAACACACTGTAAAATACGTATTTTAAAATTATAAAAAATTATAGAATATTTTAAAATTATTTAAATAAATTTAAAATGGCTTCCACAAAATTTCAATTTATTTTCTTTGTTGCTTTCGGATTATTTATTGCGAATTTTGACAATGTTTTAGGTAAAATTTATCAAAAAAATTAAATAAATAAAAATTAAATTTAGGACTTACATGCAGTCAAGGCAATATAACATCGTATAAAAATGTAAATTGTGCAATGTGTTTAACACTTCGATGTGATGGAATTATTCGTAAATATTTAAATAATATATATTTTTAAATTTTTAATAAATTAATAAAAAAAATTATTAGAATTACGTGATTGTGGAGAAGGTAAATTAGAAAAAGGTCAATTTTGCTCGACATACGCTGGCTGCCCTAAACGGAAAGATCATAAAAAACCTAAAGTAACCTGCATTCCATGTCTTACTGAAAACTGCAATAATGAACCAAATTAAATTGGGAGAATAAAGAAATAATTGAAATAAAAAAGTAAATGATGGAAGTTAATTAAAAAAAATAATTTTTGGGAAAAAATAATTTTTTGGGGATTTTAAATGAATATTAAATGGATTTGATTTTTCAAATAAATATTAGTAATTATTTTTTATTAAAAATTAATTTATAGAAGTAGTTACGCTCGACATGCCCGGCTTCCTCCGCAGCAGTAAAAACTTGTCCGCGGAGGCCTTATGCGAGGGCTAAAACAAATAGTCATAACTTAGTCAAATCAGATCTTTGATTTAGGTGGCATTTGACTCAGCTCGAGTAGCCCTTTCGAATGAGCTCTATCATTTGTATTATCGAATTTTTTACCACAAAAATCAGCCTGGCCAACCCCTATGGCTTTTCAATACTCAATTGCCCATATCTCTGCGAGTTTTAATCTCCGACAAAAAATTCTTGTATTAAACTAAGTTCGGCGAGAGGAATCGGATGGTCTATACTTCGATTTTCGATCTCGGTGGGCATATACGAAAGTACAGCTTAGACTTTCTTAAATCTCTCTTCAGTAAAAAGATTCTTGATATTATGTATAAAAAAATAAGAACCCCCCTCCCCCCCCCCCCCCCCCCGTCCCATTTTTGTCAATTAAACTTCTAAATAATACATATTCAAAATTTATGACAAATGAAAATTAAATAAAAAAAAAGAAATATTAAATTCACAAAAAAAGAAAAAAGCCAAAAATAAAAATAATAATATGTATTTCTTAGTTGAAACACCCTGTACATAGTATGTATATAAATTTAATCACCATCACCCGAATTTTTTTTCAAATTTCAACCCGAATAGCAAATTGTTGTGTAGAGGGATGTTGTTGTTTACGTGAACGTTGCCTTGAAGGAGAAGTATTTTCATTTAAAATATTTTGAGTTAAAGGGGGAAATTGTTGCTGTTGGTTAGAATTAATATTGTTTGCATATGCTGAGGTAGACGGAAAACGTGAAATACTTTCTTGTTTAAACTTGAAAAAAAAATAAAAATATTTATATAAATATTTTTCATAATTTGGTAGTATTTTTTGAATATCAAATAAAATCTATAGGTAATATTATTTTCAAAAATTCTTCAGTTTAAAATAAAAATATTTTTAATCACTAAAGGATATTCTGACAATACATATTAAAGAAAATAACTTTAAATATATTTTATTTTCATAAATTAATATGCTCGCTTAGTTAACCATTTTTAGAATATTTGAAAACCCTTAACACATTAGTGACTAAAAATTGAATTTACTTTCCCCAAAAAATATTTTTTCGATGAGTTCTTTCGAATGAGCTATTTGTATATTCGAATTTTGAACTCCAAAATCGGCCTTACTCCCCTATATGGTTTTTCGGTTTTTAAGGACCTATATCTCGGCTATTAGAAGCCAGTTCCATTCGACTCAGCTAGCCGAGACAAATCGAATGATATGTAATTTGACCCGTTTCTGAGTAGGCCACCGGCTAAAGTACAGCCGTTTAATATTTACCTTATCTTCTTCTCCAAATTTCTTTTCAAAATTATTTCCTTCATTATTAAATTTTGCTTTGCTAACATTTCTCCATTTATTAACAATACTTAAATCATCAACATCAACAACATCAATATCCTCAACCCAATCTTCTTCCTCTTCAATATATTCATCAAAAACCACTTCCCCATCAAATCTAGCTTCATTCTTTAAACGACGGTCACGACACTTTCTCGCCGCCAATTTATTACGACCTTTTATTTTGAAATTAAAATAATTTCTAGAAGGATATTTATTTTAACTACCTCTTCTTCTAATTTTTTTAATTAAAGCCTTTTGTTGGCTAGTTAAACGAACATCCTGCATTAAGGAAGAATAATCACGATAAGACATTGCTGTAAGATGTTCAGCAGAATAGGGAAGGTCGTATTGATTTACAAGGGCTAAACAAAAGTTAAAATTTAATGTTTTAAAGGAAATGGGGGGTTGGCAAAAAAACTTAAATTAAAAATCGCAGGGCCTCTAAATCCTCTAAAAAAGGCCTCTAAATCGCAGGGCCTCTCACTAATACCCTTTAAAGAGTGACTTGAAAAATAGAAAGGCTGTAGTACTATGTATATAAGGTTGGCGGATCCGGTTCCGAAAAAAGTTCAGATATCCGGAAATTTTAGGTTCGAATATCGGATCCGGATATCCGTTGATTTCCAACTATCCGCCAACCTTGATTTAAGGTTTTACGTTAATATACACAGAATTTATTCGAGAAAATTTTATGTTAAAATTCGGTATCTTTGTTAATTTCTCCCATCGGATTTAACCGTGTATTAATGTTTATGAATTCCAAATAAAATCTAATCGCAAATAATTTTAACAACTCACAATCATCTTTCGATCTTCGTCCTCTTTTTCCTTTAGCTTTCATTGGGACTTGTCTTTCCAAACTTTTAATTGGCGGATTTTTTATTTTTTGAAAATTATCAGAATTTTTTGGAATTAATTTTTGTTCGTAACGGAAGGCAAAAGAATCACTGTTAGATAATTCTGAAGAACCAACTACTTCTGTTGGAGAATTGTATGAAACAATATTAGAATCGGTGACAGGCAACCCGACAGAAGATGAACTTGAAAATAATTGATGAGAATTATAAAATATACAGATTTTTGGCACGCGGACATATCGGGACGGACATATCGTGATATTTCAATGTACGAACAGTTACCTTACTGATTTCTGGACCTACGGCCACTGGGTCTTGGATAGTGTATTGTCCTATTGAAGAATAGAGTTTTTATGTTTTAGAACAAACGTAAACAAGAAGAAATTATGTTTTGGCACCCCAATACCAATATGTCCGTCCCGAGATGTCCGGACACCCAGATTTTTAATGAAAATTGTTTAATAACAATTCATAATTATTTTATAATAATGTACTATTTTTTGTACTGACCAAAAAGTACATAAAATATTGAGAAATAATTTATGAAAAATATAAACACCTTGTAGTAGGTGAACAACTATTTTGAACAGTAGTGTTGCAATAAAGATTGAGTGGAGCCCCAAAAAGATTAAAAGAATTCCCATTAGCGTCAAATGGAAGAGAAGGAGGAGAACCATTCATATTTAAAGTTTGATTAAAATGTTCAAAAATGGGTGAAAGAGGCCCAACTGAAGGTGAAAGGGGTAAAGCTAAAGGCGATAAAGATGAAGGTTGTTGGTGGGTGTTTGCAATTTGTTCAATTGAAGTTTGTAGTTGATTTGATAAAAAATTGTTTTGGGTCAACGTTTGGGTACTGTTCATTAAAATAACCTCTGCTGCTGCCAACTCATGTAGAATTGCTACAAAATAATTCTTTAAATTTTGTAGAATTGCTACAAAATAATTTTTAATTTGAATTTTAAAAATCCTTAAAATTTGTCAAGCTACAACCCTCCCCCTCCTCCTTTACTTCCCAGGTTTGCGAGGATATTCTGCGCAATGTCAATGCTTCCGTCCAGGCAAAAAAAACTTTTTAGCGTCGCAGACGAACATTTTTAAAATTTCGAAGGCTGTAGGCCAAAAAATTCACCTTTTGCCCAAACCGTTCCCCAAATTTTTTTCCTTTTCCCCGGAGAATTCCCCACCCCCCCCCCCCTACCCCAGGCTACGGGCCTGCTTCAGTCAGATATTACCAAATAATCACAAAATAATCACAAAATAAAAAATAATCACCTTCAACTTCACTATTGTTAACTAAACTTCCATCGGAAAATAATGGAGAATTTTGTTGTGAGGACGACCTTGGATCATTAATTGGAAGAGGGGAAAATAATTGAGGAAAGAGTGCTGATAAAAGCATTTCTGTTTCAGCTTCGTCCTTTGCTTCCTCGTCTTTTTCAGTTTTTTGATTTTTTTCGGTTAATCCTTTTTCAGAAAAATTATCTGTTAGTGGAATAGATTGTTGTTGATTGGTAATAGAATGTTGCAAAGATTGCTCTGAAAAATAAATATTAAAAAAAAACAAAATTTTAATATTTTTTAAATTAAAAATTAATGCAAGATTGAGAATAAAGTGGAATAGACGAGGGTCTAGACTTCTCGCCCTTAGACTAAGAATGGTCTCTATACGGCCCCGCCGCATATCCCTTGAGACCCTCAACTTTATTCAAACTCAACTTCTCGAACATAGACCAATAATGGTCTCTGTTCAACCCGCCGAATACTCCTAGAGATCGACAACTTTCAGAAGACTAAGAATGGTCTCTATACGGCCCGCCGCATACCCCTAGAGACCGACAACTTTCAGAAGATTCCCAATAGAGAGAAGAATAAATTTCCAAGTAGCTGAGATAAAAACTGAAGGAGATTCTCCTTTTTAAGTTTTCATGTAGAGACAAAATTTAAGCTTTAAATAAGATACATGACATTTAAATTAAAAAGTTTTCCAGAAACAAAATATGAATCACTTTAAAACTAAAACAAAAAATGGAAGAGAATAGAAGCCAATAAAAGAAAGTTGGATTTTTAATGTAATATTTTATTACAAACATCTTTAAATATGTAAATATAAACATAAAGTGCAATTTAATGATAAAGTGCAATATTAAAAAAATGTTAAAATAATAATAGAAATTGAAGAGAAAATTGAAGAGGGAATAATGATAAAATAAAAAATTATTTAATTAAAAATTTAAATAAAAATTTGTCTAAAAAATTATTTATGTCTAATTTTGAGAGTAAATAAAAGTGCTATAAATAAGGCAATATTTAAACAAATTTAGAAAAAATTTTTGAATGGCATTAAAATCATAAGAAAATTAAAATGAAGACAAAAAAAAGAATGTTGACATAAAATGGAAAGAAAATTAATGTAAGGATGTAAAAAGAAAGAATTTTTTTGCCAATTTTAGGGAAAAGCTTGACTAAAGTCACGGCAAAAAATCGTTAAAATATAAACTATGAATGATCGTTTAATAAAATAGTCAAAAAGATGGCAAAAGTTTTCCATAAAATTGTCCTTAAATCGATTAGAAAAATAAAATTAAATAGAATTCAGATTCAAAAAAAATATAAAATCCGCTTTCCGATTTTTATATATCCCTGCCTATAATTATAACCGATCCCAGTAACTTATGGTGTGTTAAGACATGATTTTTAATATTTCTCAATGTTTCAGTCATAGAATTTATTTGAAATTTTTAACACCTTTTTTTAAAACCTTAACACCTTTTTTGAAGAAAAACTCTTATAAAAAGTGAAAGAGTTAAAATTAATCTAAGATTATTTGTATGTCTTATTTACATAACAATATTGATGTAAAAATTTCAAATAAATTCGATGACTAAAACATTGAGAAATATGAAAAATCTAGGTACACTTATAATTTCTTAACACACCCTAATCGCTAGCAAATCTATTCCTTCGAAACCACTCAAAAACATTCATTAAAATAATTTAAAAACTTTCCAAAAAATAAAAAATTTAAGAAAATAATCGTTTGATTAAATGTTTTAAAGAAAATAAACAAAATTTTATTATTTTATTTATTTAATATTAAAAGATTTGTTTGACAAAAGTGCTAAATTCTCATCAAAAAATTTCCTTCCAAAAGAAACAATTAAATGATAAAATTACAATTTTTGGTTTTCCATCAAAGATATGATGAAAATATAGTAAAAAAACATGAGGACAGGAAATGCACTTATTAGTGAAGTTGCGAATATAAAAATGAAAAAAGAAGAAAAAGAAAAAGAAACACAAAATAGATAGCAAAAATGATACTTATTAAAATGGACAACAAAAATATTTTAAATAATTTGAGAAAACAGAGTGAGACGAATCTTGAATAAAAGTTGTATTTATATAGTTTTTAAAAATTAGAAAAAAAATAAGTAAAATTTTAATAAAGAAAAAAGGAAAAGTTTGTGACGATGAAAATTAAGTTATAGAAAAAATTAAAAATTAAAAAAAAAATAAAAATTGGCAAAATTAAACTATTAATTTGAATGAAAAATCAAAAAATAAATTGTCTACAAAATGTTTAGAAAACATCAAAATTAAGCAAAAATTAACAGAATGTATAAAAAAATTTTATAAATAGATCAAAAAGGATAAGTGAAAATGAAAGAAATATATAACAAAAATTCGAAGTTTTTGGTAGAAAAGTGAGATTAATTGTAAAATGTTTATAGAACCAAGTTATTTAAAGCAGATAACCAAAAGAACATAAATAAAATCTAAAGTTTAGAGAAATGTTGAAAGATTTTAAAAAATAATTAAAATATAGCACAGTTCATAACTAGATTTGGGATATTTATGAAACAATTTAAACCAAAATTAGGGATCAAATTAGGGTAGCAACCCGTCCCACGAAAACTCGACGAATTTTTGAGCAAAATCCCCGCCCCTAAACCCGAAAGCTCTACTCCGGCAAAGCCCAAAACCCGGCATCCGCCCTCGAAGGCGGGAAGTGCTACTCTAGACCAATCAAAATTTAAAAACCGTTTACTATTCTAAATTTGTTGTGTCTCTACAATAAATCACGGAAATGAATGGATTTCGAGACGTAAACGGCAAATTTTACAATAAACAGTAAAATTTGCCGTACATAATTCTAATTAATCTCCCAAAATTTCTCGTCAAATAAAATTTTCGAAAAATTTTACCAGCCAATTAATTTTAATTAAATAATTACGTAAACAAAAACTAAAAATGTTTCATAAAATATGTTGCGAATACTTAATAAATTAATAAAAAAAATTTCTTTTTAAATAAATCTTCACTCTCTCTCAAAATAAATGCTTACTTAAATAATCGCCTTGACAATCAAATTTTGCTCGTTATAATTAAATAAATGAGAATTTTAATGCTTTTTGATAACTTTGTGTATATAATAGTCTCCATTCTCGAATTTTGCACAACTTTTTTGTTCAAAAAATTTTTTTGTTGCAAATCGCCCCCAATTACGTATATAAAGAGGAACCCATGGATGATATTTAGAATAAATATTATTTTTTAATTTATTTACATAAAAATATTTTTTGCGACAAAATATGGCCTTTCAACACCCATTAAAATTAATTTATATTTTGATTAATATTTTAATTTTTTTATTTAGAGAGTAGAAATTAAATAGAAGGGGTGAGAAGATAAACAAAAAAAAATAAAAAGAAAAAAAAATTCACCGCTTTTTAAAGACAAGAATTTTTTAATATTAAGTAAAATTAACTTAAAAAATTATCACCTTCAAGCATTTGTTGCCGTTCCATCCCCATTTCTTCATTATCGCTATTCTCCCCAATTGAAGCCGATGAGGAAGAACAACGGGCCAACGAAACGTCATTAAATAAAATAGGTTGTCTAATATCAGATAATGCTGAAATAGATTCTCTAGAAGAACAGCCTAATTCTCTTTGATTTGGAACAGAATCCTTTTGATTTAAATTTTGATTATTTTCTGTTGGAAAAGGAGAATGAATTGGAATATTAGGCAATTCTGATTCGTCAATCTTTAGAAAAAAAAGTTTTAAAATGAGAAATTAAATGGGTGGGGGCTAACTCGAAGAATTCCAACTCACGAAACAGACAGGTCGCGGAACGACAAGTCACGGAATGACCAAAACACGGAATATTTTGAAAATCAGAATATTTCTAGAAATCAGAATTTTTTTTAATATTGAGATTTTTCAAAAAATTCCGATTTTTAAAGTATTCCGTGTTTTGGCCATTCGTGAGTTGGTCCGTTCCGTGATTTAATAATTCTGTGACTTGTCGTTCCGTGACTTGTCTGTTTTGTGAGTTAGCCCGCCACTAATTAAATGAGCTATATACCTGAGGATTATATGAAGAAGATTGAGAAAAAATTGATGCTTTTCTATCTAAAAATAAATAAAAAAATCAAATAATTAAAATAAAAATATTTGCCTTGACCAGAAGACACAAAAAGAGAACTTGTAGGTAATTGTAATAAATCATTCCATTTTGTATTTTCATTTTGATTTTCAATAATTCCATCAAAACTGAGAGTTCTAGAGAAATTAGCCAAAAGATTAACTTCATTGTCATTTAAATTGTCTTGAAAATTCTTAAAAAAAATTTTTTTTTATTTTTAAAATTAATTCAAAAAATATTACAGTCTGGTCCGGCAGTAAACCCTTCTCTGTAAGCAATTGAATATCACGTTCAAAAAGAATATCTGTCTCTTGAAAATTTCTTTCATTATTTAAATAATAATAATCTTCATTTAATTGTTGTCCAAAATCGTTTAATCTTTGATAGGGCGATAATCCTCCCTTTTCTTGCTCAATATCCCATCTCCAATAAGAATCAATAGCATCATAATCCATAAGTGTTGGTTCATCACTTTGATTAGAATTTGTACCAAAATCAGAAGTAGATGGTTGTATCGATGTTGGGGATGTAGACAAATGGGCCCAACTTCTAAGAGAATCGGGTGGAGCTGAAGAAGTATTACGCTGTCGATTAATAAATCGAGGTGAAGGAATTGATTGAGGAATTGGTGTTGGACTACGTTGGCGTTGGACTTTAATAAGAAAAAATATTTTTAGATTGAGTAAATTAATAGAATCAGGATATAAAGAAACCAAACAACCATGGATAAAGTAGATGTCAAGGACTAGCAAGGGGTTTTAAGGAGGCTATAGCCCCCATGAAATGGGGAAAATAAAAAAGGGAAATGATCAAACAAGTGAATTTTTTAGCCTATAACCTCCAAAAATTTTCAAGATTTTCGTTTACGGCGCTGAAAAAAATAAAATACATGTGCCAAAATTTTGACACACCCCCATCCCATCTTTGCCCTTGTTAAATGTATTTAGATGACTTTCATCCATTTAAATACCCCCTATATAAACGATTTTTCCATAAAAATGGGAAGATCAGAGCTAACAAATATTAATTTACCCGTTCTACGACGTCTTTCAGCCAGAAGAACATTAACCTGTAATTCTTGCCTTTCACCCAAATGTCCAAAAATCGTCCAGTCATTTAGTGAAGCTGAGGTAATCGTAGAAGGAACATATTCTTCCAAACGTTCTACAAATCTTTGAAACCGTTCATTTATATTTTGCGAAATTTTTGTTTGAATATCAAAATTATGGAGTTGTTGAGAAGTGAATGGTTGATGATGAGGAATATTTGAATAAAGAGATTTGATGAATATTTGAATATCAGAAGAGAAAAAAGATTTTTTAAATACATCTGTGAGGTCAGTTGTTGTTGTCCGAAGTAAATGTGCACCACAAATTGCAGCCAAAAGGAATAGAGAAACCGTCAGACCTTAAAAGAATTTCTAATTATTTTTAGATTTTTTTAGAAAATATTCTAAGTTTGGCAAGGTTATACCCCAGAAAATACCAAATCGGATTTTCTGGCACTCCCGTAATACCGAATAAATTTTGGAATTTGTGGTATTCATTCGGTATCGGGACTCGTCGGCGAAAAGTCCCGATGCCGAAAAGTTTTCGGTACTCCCGGTACCGGTGCCGAAAAAATCTATTTGCTGAACACTAATTCAAACTAAATATTTGGTTATGAACTTATTTAAAAATAATCTGATCTTAATAAAAAAGGAACCTGCATTCGACATGCTTGCTTGCTGACTTCCAGCCTTAGAATATAAACTGCGCCCCTTCATAGCCAACAATCTTTCACGGGAATTCATTCTAGAGGTAGATCTTCTATTAATTCTACGTCGTCTTGAATGGAATGAAGCATTTTCAGAATTAGAAATAAAACGCAAAATTTGTGGAGGCTGGAATTGATGAGTAGAAATTATAGCTGTTGTCTCCCCAGGCTCCTCAGCCTCGTTTGAAGACGGCATTGAATTAAAAAAAGAATTTCTTGAAGATTAATAAAAAATTAACTGAAAACATTAAAATTTAAATTAATACAAAAAATCAGCGGTTTATTTAAAAACCGTTTAGAATAAAAAAATTTAATCAAAAAGTAATTTTATAAACTCGCTGTGATAAGAATACATGGGAAAACATAAAATACTACACGTAAAAGGAAAACGTTAAAAAATAAACTATAAACAGAAGAGAAACAATAAAAACGAAAGTCAATTTTGTCAAATAAAATAATTGGGAAAAAAATTTTTTTGATCAAACCGTTGAAGCATATTTGACCAAATATTTGATTTATTCAATAATAGAAATTATCAGTTCTAACCTCATATTTTCAACGTGTTAATTGTTGGTGTTAAAGTACCACTACTAAGTTGTGGACTATTTTGTTGTTGTTGGGTGACGATAGGCAAAGTTGTTAGAATACCAATAACACGTTTCATGTTAAGCAAAAGACATTTCATTGATTTTGTCCAACGCTCCTTTAAAATTTTGTTTTAATATTTGACATTTTTAGAGTAACAATAAATATTTTTTAAATATTGATATTGTGATTGGGGTGCCAAAATGGACCGACTCGTACCGAAAGATTGAGCCGGACCTAAGATATTTGGCCCGAAAGTGTACCGGCCCGACTCGAAAACGGCAACCCTGATTGTGATCTTAAAAGAATTTCAATTCAGATTATCTAACCAAAAATAACTCATGTGTTAATCAACTCAAAAAACTACCGGTGAATTTAGCTGCATTTTTATTAAATATTGAGAATCTCTGTCAATTATCTTGTCTTTTAGCATTCGGTAAGGCAAAAGTTGAGTACCAGGAAAATGTTGCTTTAAACGTTTCTCAACCTAAAATGGGTATTTTATTTATTGCATTTATAGAGACCAAAATTCAAGGGCGTAGCCAGGGGAGCCCCCCCCCCGAAATAGGGGAGGGCTTCACTTTTTTTTACGCCCAAAACACCAAGGTAAACGCCAAAACCGAAATCGACCCCCTTGGCTACACCCTTGCCAAAATTATTAAACACGTATAAATAATTGTAAACCTGAATAAAGCAATCCATAAAAGCTATCAGGGCTTTATCAAGCGCTGGTTGACCAAATGGACGCCAACCTCCACTGCCTTAAATTAAAAATTAATTTTTTTTCAATTTTTTATAAAAACCATAAAGAGGAAGTTCTTCAATTTTATCAGAATTTTGTTTTTGAAGTGAACGAATAAAAGAACAACTGCCAAAAGGGACAAGTTCATAACCAACAAATTCGATACCCAAACGTTCAGCAATTACCTTTTAAATAAAGGGACTAGGAGAATAAGGGCGTAGCCAGTGGGGCTGAAGCCCCCCCCCCCCCCCGAAATGGGGAAGACCCCCTGGATACGCCCTTTATGAGAATATAAAAGAAAAAATACTTTTAATAGAAAAGCCATTTGACCTAGTGCAGCATTTATTTCATTCCATTCAACTTGTTCTTGTCGAAGACGACCCAAACGAAAACCGGATATTGTTCTAAAATTAAAAAAATTGTTAAAAAAGGGACGGGAAAAATGAATGAAATTAAAAAAAGAAATGTAATTTTCCAAAAGAATTAACGTAGAAACCCAATTCCTCTCACTTTTCGAAATGAAAAATGAAAAGTTTTGACCCTATCCCAAAAGAAGGGCGGAATCGTTTTATCATTACTTCAAGGAAAGGAAAAATGGAGACGGATGGTCACGGACAGACAAACCACAGACGAACACGGACGGCTATCAATTTCTAAACATTTCCGTCCGCGTGTCTGTCCGAGTCCGTCCGTGGTTTGTTTGTCCGTGTCCATTCGTCCCCATTCTTCCTTTCCTTGCAAGTAATGAAAAAACCGATTTCACCATTCTTTTGGGATAATCTTTTAAAAAAATAATATAATCAAAAAGAAATACCCAAATTCCCCATCCACCCAAATGTGGAAGCACAAATCCAAAATATTTGTTTGACAAAGACGTTTAAGTTGCTCTTCAGAATTTTTAATTTGTAATTTCAAAGCTCTCTGTTCATCTGTTTGCTCAATTAATGTTCTGAAAATCGAATAAGACAAATTATTTTTAACGAAAACTTTTTGTAATTAATCGAAAGGTTCAAAGATCCGGTTCAAGGGCCTAACCAGGGAACGAATTTCGGGGCTATAATGGGATGCTCTCACCCATCTTCATGTAAAAATTGTTCATGGAGTGATAAACTCATTACTATTAAATTTAAAATCGTAACAAGTGAAAACCTCCGAATTTATAATTTCTCCTCAATTTGTCGAACCAATGTTTTTAGAAATAAACAAAAGTCCATGGAATGAGGAAACACTTAAATTTACCCAACTTAACCAAACCCAAACCTGTGATTATTCCTTAGTTGTCTATATAACTCTTCGTCGCGTTCATTAATTTTTCTTCTTTCTTCAATTTTTGAATTAAGTTCATTGCTCAAAACACGTTCTTCTTCTTCCAAAAAATTTAATTGATCAAGTAGATCGCGTTCTTCTGTCTTTAAAAAAATAAAACTTAATTCGTTAATTTTCGAAAATAAATCTAAATGGTAAGGAAAGGGAAGCAAAAACCCTAATGATTGTAAAGCATATAGCTATTTAATTCCTAAGGCTGAGCAGTAGGTAATGGATAACACATCAGTCCGGTCTACTGAAGATGCTGGTTCGCTTCCAGCCGCCGAATAACTTTTGCACTAGCCAAAGGATAAAAAATGGCTAAAGCCCAGCTCTGTTTTACTTGATAAAACTTAAAGCATTCAACGTACAGGGAATCCGTTGTTAAAAATTTGGAATAATTCAAAAGATAAAGGGTAAAATCAAAAAATGTTTCAAATTAGGAACACCCAAAATTAATCTTTAATTCCTAATATTTTTATCACAAACTAAAAATTATTTAAAAAACCTTTAAAGCTTCCAATTTTCTCGTAGCAGCATTTTGATCGAAAAGAGAATTTGCTTTCTTATTAGTTAATTTATCGAGTGTTTGTTTATATTGAATACACTCTTGTTCAAGTCCTTCCAATTGTTTTTGAAGTTCTGAGGTTACCGATGATGCACATTTCTAAAAAATTGGAAATTTAAAATCACCAATTGTGCAACAATTTTCTTTTAAAAAATTTCTCAAATTTTCACCCTTTCACCTATTTCGGGGGGGGGGAGGCTTCAGCACCTTGTTACGCCCTTGAATAAAAGTACACATAACGAAAAATGTTAAAGAAACTGGATAGCGAAGTAGTCACAAATCGATGCAGGAAAGGAAAATACACAGTTAAAAGTTAATTTAAAATACACAAAATAAAATTGACAATCCAAAAATTTAAATTTGTCGATACTAATGAAGATGAGGGAGCCCGGTGCCTTTTTTGCGGACTTTTTTTCTGCGACTTTTCTTCCTTTATTTTTAAATGTTTTGCTTGTAGCAACTGTCAAAGGATTAATTTTTTATTCACCCAAATATTTTTGATTATTATTTGTAAAAACTAATGGCCACCCTCATCTTCAGTAGTGACGAATTGTCGAATCGAAAATTTAAGAAAAAAACCAACTTTACACATCGGCACATCCAACGGACTATTTGATTTTGAAATTACATCCAATAAATTACAATTTCCAATCGAATCAGAAAGTATACAGGGAGACTCCAGCTCGTCACAAATATTTGTTGAAATCGGAAAATAAATTATTTTAAAAATTAAAAAGAAATTAAAAAAACCGAATCCAAACTATTTTCCAACAAAACTCTTCCAATTCGACTTTCTCTGAATTGAGTGTCAGAAAGTAAATTTTCATCTTCAATAAGTGTAGGATGCAATTCCATTTTGCATTGACAGAGCTAAAAATATTGGAAAAATTTTAAATACAAAATTAAAAGAAAAATTGACTTTTTTTAAAATTTATTATTCAACATGTGTGGTCAATTCAAGCAGAAAAATAAAATGTAAGGCTTTCTACACTGCTATGATAAGAATAATAAACTTAAATAATCGCAAGAGAGATTCACATAAAAGGGATGTCTCGGGTTATCCGAAAACCGAACTTTTTCTACTTGAAAACTGAACCGAAAAAATTTTAAAAACCCGACCCGACTTTTTTTCTCAACCCGAGACATCCGTCATATAACCCCAAATGTTTGGAACGTATCTTCGTTCAATAAAGTTATTAAAATATTCGACAAGGGTAAAGCTATAACTTTGTTCAAAATTATCGAATCCGTGGCGCCCTGTTATGGTTTATTGCGTCTCGACCAACTGAATAGAAACATACCAGGGCGCCACGGATACGACAATTCTGGACAAGGTTATAGCTCGGCGTACACTGGCCTGCTCCCAGTCGAAAATTAAATAAAAACTATCTATCTAAAATTACACATGTATACTGACGTCTTTAATACACCAAAAAATTTTCCCAATATAAAATCATTTGACCAAAAAAATTAATTTAAAAAAATTAAAACACAAACCAAACAATTAAAATTGCTATTATCAGATTGGCTTAAATTTGGGACAATTAATTTCAAATCAGCAGATAAAAAATCTTCAGAAGAAGAAATAATATTTTCTTGTTGCTTTTTAATTTTTCCCCCAACTTTTTTTGACTGATTCCCTTCCACCTTTATATCCGTTCTCGTGACGGAAGGAACAGCTGATTTTTAAAAATAAAATTTGAAAGAGAAAAAAGATTTTAAAAAAATTTTCTGTACCAGTCTCTGCCATTTAAATTGTGTATTTAATTTTAATTTATTGGGGCTGTCAAAGTTTAATTGCAACAATTTTGATATTAATTTATAAAAAATATGTATTTATTTTTAGTATTCTTAATCTTTAAACATTTAAAAATTAATTTATAGGCTAATTAAAAAATAAAAAATTGAAAGGGGCGTTCTGAAAAAATATTTACTCATTTCAGTACAAAAAAATTAAAAAACCAATAGAGATCAGAACGAGTTCGGGACCCGTTTCCCGGTTTTCAGCTCCCTTTTCTCGGTTTTTTGAAGCAACCGGGATGAAACCCGGACGGGAATTCCCGGTCTGAGTCCCTCCGGTCAACTTTCAAAACCCGTTTCCCGGACCAGGTTTTTTCAAATTCCGATCTCAAAAACCAAAGCCCAAACATTTGAGAAAATTTTTAAAAATTTAATCGATGATCATTAAAACGTCAAATTTCAAAATGTCGAAATCCCTTAAAAATGACAAAATCACAAAAACAGGAGGAAAATAAAACAAAAATTAATAAAAAAATATTCGAGAAAATTCTACAACAATTTTTGGAAATTTTATTACACGAGGAAAGAGTTTAACAACATAAAGCCAACGTAAACAATTTGAAAAAGAACCAACAAAATGCCTAAAAATATTGAAATAAAAGCAAAAATACCCTCTAAACAAAAAGTTGAAAACTATCACAATTTGCTGACTCAATCATGTGGTCAGGCTGAAATCATTCATCAACATGATACATTTTTTAATACAGAGAAAGGACGTTTAAAACTTCGGGAATTTTTTGGGGATGAACAAAAAGTATTTTTTTTGGATTATTTATAAAAAGGTACTTTGTTAATATCCCGCCCCTCCCTTTTTGAGTCTCAGTTTATTTTTTCTTTTATTTTTTTCTGCCAGGAATGGGCAAATTTCCTTTTTTTATAAGTGTTGATTTTTGCTGTTGCAAAAACAGTCCTTTCCTTGCCTCTTAGAATGCTTGAGGAAAATGACTATAAAAGAAAAATTAATTTGAGGCTCAAATAGGGAGGTTGAGCTATAGATCGGAACGGGTCCGGGGCCAGGTTTTTGGGTCCCTTCTTCCGGTTTTTGAAGCAACCGAGATGAAACCGGGAACGGGAATTCCAGGTCCGGGTTCCTCCCGATCAACTTTCAGAACCCGTTTCTCGGGCCCGGTTTTTTCAAAATTCCGATTTCTAGGTTGGGCGTGATATTAATAAAGTACCTTTTAAAAATGTTAAAAAAGTTTAAATTTTAAGAAAAAAGAGCCTGAATTAATTTTTTATGAAAGAAATGATCAAAATGGACCAAAATTATCTGATTTCACTCAAGTCAAATTAGGGAATAAAAGTGAGGGAATTAAGGTGAAAATTAATAAAATTTTAAAGAATATTTATCGTTTTCAAAGGAAGCCCTTTTTTGTGCTTATGGTGTTAAGGGATGGCTCCCATACAAAATCTCTATTCCTTAAAATCGCTATTCCTTAAAATCTCTACTGGGCTAAAAATGCTTAAAATCTCTATTCCTTAAAATAACTATTCCTTAAAATCTCTACTGGGGTAAAAATAATTAAAATCTCTACACCGCGCAAATTGACGGTTGAGTCTCAACAAAAGTACCATCTGAATCTTTCGCTGGAAAAACCAGACTTGTTAATGGATATGGATACAATTGGTTTAAAATGGCTGCCATATCCACCTTATCCGCCTTAAATATCGAAAATATAAGACACGACTGCTTCGCTGCGGTCGTGTTCATTTTCCTTGCGTTGATCGTATCGAAGCGGCTGCTGTCGTCCCGCTAGACATGCCTGGCTGGGTTCATCCGCACCGGCAAAAACTATACAAGCAAAATAATATCAAAAGATAATCCAGAAATCAGAACAATGTTTCCGCACTTAACGTTGGTACTCAAAAGGCTTCAATGAAAAATAGACATTTTATCCTATATTTGGCAGTGTAGAGATTTTAAGGCATTTTTCCCGTGTAGAGATTATGAGGAATAGAGATTTTAAGGAATAGTTATTTTAATCATTTTTAGCCGAGTAGAGATTTTAGTGCATTTTAGCTGTGTAGAGATTATAAGGCATTTTAGCCCAGTAGAGATTTTAAGGAATAGAGATTTTGAGGGGATACGTAAGGGATGTGTGAGAAAAAAGAGGACTCTTTATATTTATCAGACTCAGACTCGTGTGCATATTGATGAAGTTGAAAATTTGGGGGATTTTATTGAAATTGAAGTTATTGAAATTTTTGTTTTAAAATTAAAAAAAATATTTTATAGGTTTGTCTTCGTGAAAATCAAACTGAAAAAGAAGGAAAAGAAATTTTAATTAATTTATCAAAATATTTGGATATATCAAATAATGATTTAATTGAAGTTGCATATTTAGATTTATTGTCAAAATAATAAATATTACAATTTAAAATAATATACCTAATTCCCTACAATAGATGCCATGACATTCTATTTTTCAATCTCCTTCTAGAGTGTTATTCGGTAAAAGTCGGTTTTTGTCTCCTATCTTTCTCTCATTTTAATTTCTGAATCAAATTCGGGTCTGTGATTCAGAATTAATGACCAAGAATCTCATCCTCGATTTCTTGAGATACAGCCAAATATAGCACCTTCTCCCGAATAATCACTCCCTTCAGCGATAGGTGTAAACAGTAATTACTCAGGGAATTATTTGAGGATATGAAACAATATAAACATTTTGGCGTAAAAGTGAGCAGTGTAATTTAAAACAATTACATAATTATTTAAAGATTATATTTTTGATTAATATCTAAATCTAAATACATAAGCATTAAAATATTAATATCTATTAAATCCTTGATTAAGTTCCCAGTCCGTAACTTGTTTTGAAAATTCATTCATTTCAACATTAGCAGCGTTAACATAATGTAGAATCACCTTCTCCCCTTAATTTAAATCAATTGTAATTCGATAATTTTTTTAATTACCAAATGTTTTATTCAGCATTTTCGATTCTTTTAGAAGTTGTGTAGCTTTATGTAAGGAATTAGGAAATTCAGGTAATTCCTTATCATCGTAAACATTGCCAGATGCAGGAGACGGAAGTTCAAGCTCTAAAATTTAAAGTAACTGAAATTAATTTCCAAGTAAACCCCTCACACTCACTTTCTTCTATACCGCTAATTCCTGCGGCTATGATTGCAGAAAAAGCTAAATAAGGATTCAAATCGGCGCCACCGATACGCAGCTCAACATTAATTCCAGCTGATTTTGAATTACAAAGTCGAAATGCGCTTGTTCGATTGTCAATTGCCCAACAACATTTTGTTGGCGCGAAACTATAATTTTAAAAATAATGACTGACATAAAAATTGGCTCCCGGACAATCCGTCAGTGGACAATCCGGCAGTGGAAAATCCGTCAGTGGACAATCCGTCAGTAGTAAGGTTGGCGGATCCGGATATCCGGATCCGAAAAAAGGCCGGATATCCGGAAATTTTCGGTTCGGATACCGGATCCGGATCCGGATATCCGAAATTTTCGGTTCGGATATCGGATCCGGATCCGGATATCCGAAAATTTCGGTTCGGATATCGGATCCGGATCCGGATATCCGAAAATTTCGGTTCGGATCCTAGAATTAGGGAAAAAGGAAGAAATCCTGTCCAATGGCCTTCCAAATTTCTCAAAATTTTCGCCTGCGGCGCTGGAAAATGAACAAATCTGGTAGCACAGGCTTCCAAAATTCCCAAAATTTTCGCCTGCGGCGCTGGAAAATGAACAAATCTGGTAGCCCAGGCTTCCAAAATTCCCAAAATTTTCGCCTGCGGCGCTGGAAAAGAACATCTGTTAATCTAATCTTCCAAAATTCCCCAAATTTTCGCCTGCGGCGCTGAAAATGGAAGAAATTTGGCTTCAGTTGCTTCCAAAATTACAAAAAATTTTCGCTTGCGGCGCTAAAAAGTGAATTTTTTGGCCTACGGCCTTCCAAAATTACCAAAATTTTCGCCTGCGGCGCTGTCAGTGGGAGAAATCTGACTTAAGGACTTCCAAGTTTCTCAAAATTTTCGCCTGCGGCGCTTGAAAAGACTGAAAAGGGATTTGTTTGTATGATAACGGAGGATTTACCTCAAAATCTCTCAGTATTCTCTTAATCGCACGATCCCAGCTATCAATTTACCAAATTCAAAATATGGAAATAGCCGATGTATCTACTAATTCCCCCAAATCCACTAAATTCTCTCAAATCATCAGATAAACTATAAAATTTTCCACACATTGATTACACCTAGATATCTCTGTTAACATAAATTCCCTCGATAACACTGTTAATCCCCAAATCCAATCATAATTGCTCCTAATCCCTTTATATCCTCCATAAGACTCAACTTTTCAGCGCCGCAGGCGAAAATTTTTAAAATAAAAATTTCGGTTCCGGATCCGGATATCCGAAAATTTCGGTTCGGATATCGGTTCCGGATCCGGATATCCGAAATTTTCGGTTCGGATACCGGATCCGGATCCGGATATCCGAAATTTTCGGATCGGATACCGGATCCGGATCCGGATATCCGAAGATTTCCAACTATCCGCCAACCTTAGTCAGTAGCCGGACAATCCGTTAGTGGACAATCCGTCAGTAAATAAATTTGTAATTCCAATCCATACCCAAAATATCGGGGCCAAAATTTTTGATTTTATCGTGTGGTGGATCATAAGGGATATCGAAAATTTAGAGATTAGTAAGGAAATCGGCAGATTTGTTGGATTAAAAGGATATCATTGGATTTGAAAGATATTGGGCAATTTGGTCAATTAAGCGAAAGGATATACATAGGTGATTTGGATGGATTATATTCACATGATTAACGTATGGGATTATATTGGATTTAGATGAATATCGTGGGTATTGTGGAAAATCGATGAATAACATAGATTGTTTTTAGATGGATATCATGGAACAACTTCCAAATCCATTCAATCCGCCTATATCCCTTGATATGCCACTTAATACTCGAGATCCATCTTAATCTCCCAAATTCCTCGAGAAATACCATAATACTACAAATCTTTTATTTTCCTCCTAATTACACAATATCTTTGAAATCCCCAATATCTTTCAAATCCACTGATATCCTTTTAATCCACCTAAATCTGACGATTTCCTAATTAATATCCAAATTCTTAATATCTTTTATAATCCCCCACGCGAAAAAAATAAAAATTGATGGCAGAGGTAGTTTGGGTAGGGTAAAAATTACAAATTTGTTCACTGACGGATTGTCCACTGACAGATTGTCCGACCACTGACGGATAGTCCACTGACTGATTTTCCACTGCCGGATTGTCCACTGACGGATTGTCCGGTCACGATAAAAATTATTACGTATGCGGTTGAAGCCTTTTATAGGAGTTGATGTATGGAGCAAAGAAATAAGCCGCTTCGGGTACGTATTTCAATAATCCAGCAATCCAATTACGGGCTAATGTCGACATTCCATATTCATCGTTTTGATCATAAAATGCATTTTTTCCTGTTTGAGCATCCTGAAGTGACACTAGGAATCAGAGCAAATTTAATTAGCATTTCATCATTTCTCACTATGAATATGGCAAGCATTACCAAAGGCAGCTGAACTAAATTTAGCCATAAATTTTCAAAGCATTTGAGAGAACTGATAGCACTACTTTTTCTTTTATTTGTTTCTATTTTTTGATACATAATGCTGTTTGATTCCTCGCATTATATCTGCGGATGTTGTGAAACAATTTAGCAAAATTTTTGACCATTCTCTTCTTTGTAATTTCAAAGAAATATGAACAAAATTTATAAAATTACTTTCACTTTTATTGCAAACATTTGAGTTGTGTAGTTAAATTTATAGTTCCAGTCAAAATTCTATTAACAAATTCAACAAATTATAAAAATTTTTTTTTACAATTACAAATTATGAATAAAATTTTACATAATTTAAGTTAAACACAACACAGATAACTTTAAAGATTGATTAAAGTCTGTTTTTATTGTTTAAATCATTGTTGACTCCTTAAGGGCCACTTCCTTATTACACAAATCCTTGTCATTACAACTTAAACAATCTTTGTATTCTGAAGAGCACAAGCCACAATTTTGCTCCACTTAAATTTTAAAAATAAAATTCCAAAAAAATTTCAGATACTTTCTATATACCCTCAAGCAGATTTTATAATTTTTATTGTTTACAGTAAATGTTCAAAAATATCCTAGCTAGTTATTGTTTAAACACCTCGTTGAAATGAGAAGTTAATGAAGAGGAGTTAATTAGACGGAAATTTTTTCTGAAGGCTAATAACTTTTTAACGGATAATTATTTTTACATCATCTAAACTAGAGTTGCTCGAGATCGAGATTTTAGAAAAAATCCGAGACCGAGATTGACCGAGACTCGCATGACCGAGACCGAGACCGAGATGCGAAATTTGACCCGAGACCGATATCGAGATCCGAGATAAACCGAGATTCTTCAAAACTTTTTTTATCCACCAAATCCCAACCAAATTAATTAAATATCATCTAAATCATCATCAAAATCACCCAATGAGTCTTGGAAAATATTGTTTCATCATAAGAAAAGCGTGGAATTGAAGGAATTTTATTATCTTTTTTTAGAAAGTCCCTTATTCGCCTAAATGTAGGCAAAGATGTAGATGCTGTCGACTCCTCTCTAGGGCGCTGAAAAAGTAGAAAATCTGGCTTCTTGGCCTTCCAAAATTCTCAAAATTTTTGCCTGAGCGCTGAAAAATTGAGTCTTAATTATGTCCATTTTTACGGGTCCCAGAGACTGTACCGGATGCCCCTCTAAATCCTCTGATATTTATAATTTAGCGGTTAAGAAAGATATCGAAGGATTTGGGATATTTGATCAAAGCTTTGAGTTAGGTATTTAACCTAAACTTTGATTCATCAGATCTCTAAAGATTTCCACTCACTACAGTTATTTCGCCTTTTCGTCTTTCGCCTTTTTTTGCCTTTTTTCGTGTTTAATCTTTCGCCTTTCATGTTTCGCTTTTTAAAATCTGTTTCGGCACACCCCTGGTGTGTGCATAATACTTCGCTACACGATGGCCGTGCTTCGCTGCGGTCGTGCTCGCTTCGAACGCGGTGACAGTAGCGAAGCGGCGGCCTCCGCAGCAGCAAAAACCTTTTTCCGCAAAGGTTTATGTCTATTCGGCCGCGCCTATTTGTTCTGCTCCGCTCTCTAGACAACTAAATTAAAGTGAGCACAACAATATACCAATAGCGAAATTTTAAATATTTTGTCAAAATAAAAATAAATCTCAAGAAGGTCAACCTTTAGGGGTGTATACTGATCTCGGATCTCGGCGAGATTAAGTGCCGAGAATCTCGTCTCGGTTAGGTGGTCTCGTCTCGGCAAAACCGAGACCGAGAT